CACATAATTTACTGATTGTTGTTTGAATAATAATTGTTGTTAATGATAAATATCTATGAAAACATCATTCTCATATTTCTTTAATACTGGACTGTTTATATTTGTTTATAACAGTTATAAAAAACATTCAAACTATTTTTACTATCTGTTATTAGTATATTAAACGAGTTTAATGATATGCATTGAACAAAACATTTTTCTTAATTTGTTAATCATTATTTGGACAGTAACTAAATTCAATAATGAATTTTTAATAAAACAATCAATTCCTATTTTACTAAATGTGTCAGTATGTTTATCATGATTTAGTATTATTTACATCTATTGAAACAATAATATCAAAATAAAGTCATTTTTGATTTTGTAATTGATACAAATGAAATACATCAATTAAAACAATTAATTCAAATTAATTTAACTTCTAGAAATATTTTATTTCATCTGTATTTCTATCATATATTGTATTTTCTACATTTTAAATATGTTGAATATTCTACTTTATTCTATATTGCATATTTAAATATTCTTCTATTATCAAATACTTCATTATATTTAGTATAAATATGAAATGTTTGAATATAATGAAATATTCATTTTAAGTAATGATTTAAATGAAATGGATTAAAATGAAATTGCTCAATTGCATTAAAATCTTTTAACTCAATTTCATAAATTATTAAATTCTTTAATATTATCAAATCATGTTGTTGTTCTCAATATATCATTATAACATAATCTAACTCTTTCTTTTATTCTTTTTTATTGTTCTTATTATATATGATTTCTTAATGATTATTATCATTTCTTTTTCTTCTTCATATTCTTCTTTTCTATATTTCTGTCATGATTTTAATATCCATTTCTTCTATTTTTTATGTTCCATTATTTTCTTGATTTTAAATGTAATTTTGATTTAAAATTAAATACATATGTCAATATACATTATCAACATTCATTGTTATTAATTATAGTCCCATGTTTTACTTCATTTTTGTTATTATCTTTATTGTATAAATTAAACAATTTTAATTCTACCACTTTATTATTATATCATTTTTATTATTTGTTAGTCTATTCTTTCACTATTCATCTTTTTTTCTTCTTTATAACCATCATTTCATTATTAAATTGTTTGAAATTGTTGTAACATTCAAAATACAATATATCATTTAATTAAAAATGGATAGATTGTATGAAGAACGAAATGAAATAAAGAATAAATGTTGTTATAAATTAATGGCTATATAAAATATCATTTTTGGATAATAGTACTGACTAAAATAATTCATTTTATTATTCATATCAATCATTGAAATTATACTCTTTATGTTCAATTGATCAAATTTGTATCAATATTTTCTCTTTATTCATTTCATTTGTTCTTTATTAATTTGTATAGTACCTTTTGTAGAGACGGTTCTTTCCTCTTCTCTTTATTATCACTTATTTCTCTTGTGTAACAAACAGAACCATTTTTGACTAGGTTCTTTACTATTTTATTTATCTTTCTTCCACTTTGTTTTGTTCTTGAAAGTTTCTTCTTGGTTTTGAGTCTGTCTTCTCATTTGGTCATCTTCTTTTGATTTTATAGAATAAAAAGATGTTTAAAATTATGTTATTATTATAAATTATTTTATTATGTGCTAGTAATGATGAAATGAAAGAGATGCTACTTTGAATAGGTAATATCATTTATAGGTAAAAGATAAGATAGTCATAGTATTAAGAAAATCAACTAAATATGAAAAAAGAGATGACAATGATGTGAATATTTAATCAGTGGTGTTGTTTAAATACTAAATAGTATAATTATTAAACAATAGATTTGTATCAAAATACAATACATTTTATTTTATACATCTTATCACTTTGAAGATATTTAGTTTTTTAAGAAAAAAATTATTAAAATAAAATATAAAAAGACCATTCAATCATTCATATTCTTCATAATTGATTCAATAAATCAAGTCCTTCTTTTGCTACTTGATAAACAAGGTCTGTTGTTTTAAAGTCTTTTATTATATTTTTTAATAATGGAATCATAAACCCTTTCATTGCTCTTCCTGTTTCTCCATTTGACATTGGAAGGTCTTGAAGAATAACATCACACATCATAGATAATATTTTTGGATTAATTGCACTTTTATTAACATCATATAATGATACAATTCCACTGATAGCTTGTCTATAATCTTTAATATCAATAGATATTATAATTAAATTCTTCCATAAATCTTCACTTGTTCGGATATTTCTAACTGCTTCTTTCAATGCTACTTGTGCTTCTCTCTTATTTCCTTGTATACTATGAATATATGCCAAATTTGCCCAACTTTGTCCATCATCTGAGTCTAAATTAACTCCTTTTAAAAATGCCTTTTTAGCTCCTGCAATATCTGAAATTTGCATACAACAAATTCCTAATGCAAACCAAAGTCGTTGATAAATAGGATTAATTTCTAATGCAATATCAAAATGTTTCTTTGCTTCTTTCCATTCTTTTTTATTAAAATAATATTGTCCAAGAATACGTTCTGCATGAACATATGTATGATTAGATTCTTCCCAACTTTCTATAAGATATTTTGGGTCATTAGTAATTTCATACATTAAAACTTTTAATTCGGGATCTTTATTTCCTTCGGCAAGTAATTCTCTTGCAACTTCTTCTGCTTTTTCTTTTTCATTCATTGAAACATAAGCAGCTACAATTTCAATCTTCATATCAATTCCTGAAAAATAATTAATTGCTGCTCCTGACTCTCCCATTAATAACATTCTCATTCCTGTTTCTTTTCTTAATGAAAAAATATTAGGAATCATTGTCATATAAATACTTTCTAATCGTTCTTCACTTGAAATTTCTTCTTCTCCTTTTTCCATCATTTTAACAAGATCATCTGCTTGTTTAACTGACCTCCACAAAAAATGTGTTACCGTTGCTTCATATCTTGATTTTAATAAAACACTCATAATAAATGTACTAAAATCTATTCTATCTCTTAATACCCTATTACAATATGGAATTACTTCTTCTAAAATAAGTTCACTTTTACAATTTTTTCTATATCTATTCATACATTCCATTAATACATATGCTTCATCATATGTTGATAATGGTGTATATCCAATATCTCCTGAATAATCTGTTTGTGATAACATATCATTATCTTCTTCTAATTCAGTTTCTTTTAACTTTTTTTCACATTTTTGTCGTTTAATTTCACTTACTGGATGTGGTTTTCGTTCAACTCTAACATATAATTGTGCTGTTTCCTTTTCTTGATATTTTGTTCTCTTTCCCATTGCTCCACTTAATTCAACAAATATTTTTTCTTCTTGTCTTATTTTATTTAATTCTTCTTTAACCATTCGATATTGTTCTGATGCCCATAATCCAACACAAACTTCATTATTCATTTTAAATTTTATTCTTTCATACAATGTTTTATTTATTTCTTCTTTAATACTTTCTAATTCTTTTAATCCATCTCTATATCCACATCCAATTCTTGTAACTAATGATTCTCCTGGATTTTCTAAAACTCTTTGATGAATCATTGCTTCTCTTCCTATGAAGAGATTTATTAATTGGTTCTTTTTACCTTTTAATACTCCAAATATTTTAGCTGATGTATGTAACCATAATGAATTTACAATATGTTTATTTGCTTGTTCTCCATCAATACTTAAATATTCTACTTCTTTCTTTGATTCTCCTTCAACTTCTAAATTAAATGGTCCAACAAAATTCATTCTAACAAATCCATTTAATAATGTCACTCCAATTATTAATTTCTCAATATCCTCAATATCTGTTGTTGGAACGTCTTTGTATTGAATGTTTTCATACTCCTTCATCATTTTATATACATCACCCTTTAATGCTATTTCAATTTTATGACTTATCATTTCATTTACTAGAGGTGTTTGATACATTTCATGTAACACATTTGGATGTCTCCCATCAAGAAGTGCAAGTGAAACAATGGTTTCTTCCATTCAGTTGATTTGATTATTCAGTTATTATCTTCTTATCTGCTTCTTGATGATGTGAAGACCACGTCGACTTTTTCGTTTAAACATGACTTATTCATGTATAAACCCTAATTTTTCCAAAGAGAGAAGTAGAAGTGGAAAGAAAAATCTTAAAGAAAAAGATATAACGAGAATTTCATTCTTAACAATTCATATTTATGGACATCCAAACAGAAGTTGAAACACTAAGTGCAATTTATGGAGATAAAGTAAGCTATGAAAATAATGTTCTTTCATGTACTATTGAAGAAACAGTTGATGAAAATCTTCAAATAGTTAAAGGTTCAATAACAATTAAATTTACTATACCAGAAGATTATCCAGAGACACATCCAACATTTGTTCTTGAAACAGAAGAAGATTTTATTAATCAAAAAATCGAAAGAATAGAAAAAAACATTGAAGAAATAATTGAAGAAGAATTTACATGTTTATTTGAACTTGTCGATCAAGTTAAAGATATGGTTATTGAAATACTTAAAGAACAAGTAATATTTTTAAATGAAGAAATAGTAAGAAAAGAAAAAGAAGAGGAACGAGCAAGAGAAAGAGAATTTATAGGAACAACAAAGAAAACATTTGAAGAGTGGTGGAAAGATAAAGAGAAAGAAAGAAAAATCACAATTGAAAAGATTAAAAAAGAGAAAGAAGCAGAAATGAATAGAAAGAAAGGACGAATGACAGGGAAAGAATTTTTTATGAATAATCCAAGAATGGCAGAACAACTTAAAGAAGAAAATAATGAAGAAGAAGAAAAAGTAGAAGAAACACTTAAAGAACAAGGAGTAGATTTAGAGATGTTTACAGAAGAATTAGATATTTAAATGAATAATAAAGAAGAAGAGAAAAATTAGAGAGAAGAATTGGTTGGTTCATTTTAAGAGAAATCAAAATAAAAGGAAATAAAAATAAAAATAAAAGAACTAATTAATAAGAAAATAATAATAATAATAAAAAAACAAGAATGGAAGCAACAACAAATACACAAAGTGATTATACATTTAAAATATTAATTATTGGAGAATCAGGAGTAGGAAAAACAGCAATATTAGAAAGATATTGTGAAAATATATTTAATGAATCATTATTATCAACTGTTGGAGTTGATTTTAAATCGAAATATTTTACAATAGAAGGGAAAAGAATTAAAGTACAACTTTGGGATACTGGTTTGTTAATAAATGATAAAAATCAAAGAAAATCAAAATAAAATAAATAGCTGGACAAGAAAAATTCCGAAATATTACTACATCGTATTATCGTGGAACACATGGATGTATTGTGACATATGATGTTACAGATATCAATAGTTTTGATAAAATAACATATTGGTTACATGAATTAGGAAATGAAAAATATCAACCAGAAATTATTATTTTAGGAAATAAAATAGACGCAAGAGATAGAAAAGTTACAAAAGAAATGGCAGAGAATTTTAGTAGACAAAATGGAGGAATAAAAGTATTTAATTGTAGTGCAAAAACGGGAGAAGGAGTTGAAGAAGTATTTACAGAAATAGTTAAATCGATATTTAAAAATAAAAGTATAATGGGAAGAATGAGAACAAATACAGGAATGAGGATGGAAGAAGTACAAGAAAAAGCGAAAGAAAAAGAATGTTGCTAGAAAAAATAAATTGAAAGATTTTGTTATATATTTCAAAAAGAAAAGAATAAAAAAAAATAATAAAAGAATAAAAAAAGAAGAAAACCCTAAAAAAACGAAAAAAGAACTTAAATAGACAAAAAGAAATGGCAGAAGTAATCTTATATGAAAGTCCTATTGGATATGCATTATTTAAAGTAAAAGAGAAAGAAGAAATAGGAAAAGGAGAAGAATTTGAAAAATCCATAAATAATTTTGGGAAATTTTCAAAGATAATAGGATTAGAAGCATTTGTAGAATTTAAAACATCAGAAGAATTACTTGAAAATATTAATGCGATATCAGAAGGAGCACTTCATGAAACATTAAGAAAATTTTTAGAAGAAAATGTTAAAAAGAGAGTATTAGGAATAGTTGATGAGAAATTAGGAAGTGCAATTAGTGAAGCAATGAAAATTAAATGTACAAAAGGAAAAGAAGTGAACAGTGTTATTAGAGGGATTAGAACACATTTTAGTAAATATTTAAAAGATATTACAAATGAAGATCTTAGAACAGCTATGTTAGGACTTGGACATAGTTATTCAAGAAATAAAGTTAAATTTAATGTAAATAAACAAGATACTATGGCAGTTCAAGCTATATTTTTATTAGATCAAATGGAAAAAGACATGAATACATTTAGTATGAGAATTAAAGAATGGTATTCATGGCATTTTCCTGAATTATATAATATTTTAAATAATGATAATACTAAATTTGTTAAATCAGTATTAATCATTCAAAACCGCCATTCAATAGATGATAAAAAGAAAGAAGAATTAATTAAAATTACAGATGAAGAAACAGCAGAAGAAATCATTAAAGCAGCTAATTCATCAATGGGATTTGATGTTAATGAGTTTGACCTTCAAAATATTAAAAGATTTGCAGAACGAGTAACTGAATTATATGAATATAAACAAAGATTACAAGAATATCTTCATTCTAAGATGACAACCATTGCACCTAATTTAACAGCATTAATAGGAGATAGTGTTGGAGCAAGATTACTTTCTAAAGCAGGAAGTTTAACTAATTTAGCTAAATATCCAGCAAGTACACTTCAAATTTTAGGAGCAGAAAAGGCATTATTCCGAGCTATTAAAACAAGAGGAAATACACCTAAATATGGAGTTATTTTTGGGTCAACATTTATTGCAAGAGCAGAAGCTAAGAATAAAGGACGAATTAGTAGATTTGTTGCTAACAAAGCATCTACAGCAGCAAGAATCGATTGTTTTGGAGAAGTTTCTACTGATAGATTTGGAGAAGTTATGAAAGAACAAGTTGAAGAACGAATGGAATTTTTAAAGAGTGGAAAAGTTCCTAAGACAAACACGGATGTAATGGAAGAAGTTATGAAAGAACTTCATTGGAATGAAGAAGAAGGAAAGAAAGAAATAATCAAAGAATCTGAAGAAAGCACAACAAGTGAATCAGAAAGTGGAACAACATCAGAGGAATAAAAAGAATTGATTGCAAAGAAGAAATTGTTTTTAATAGAGTTTTTTTTCATAATAAAGATAAATAGAAACTTAAATTTCAAAGAAACAAAGCAATGAGTGAAGGAACAAATAAGGCAACATTTCTTATTATTGAAGATAAAAAACAAGACTATCCTATGGTTAAAGAAATAGGAGAAGTGAAAAAAGGATTTACACATAAAGTAGAACGTAGTAATGTTCTTTCAAGAGCAGAACTCTTTCTACCCATGTTCAAAGAATCAAATAAATATGTTAAACAAGGTGAATGTGAACCAGAAATTCAAGAAAATCATACAGGACAAGAAGAAAAGAAAGAAGAGAAAGAAGGAAAATGTTATGTAGAAATGAATGTTGCTGTTGGGATATTAGAAGAAAAGAAGAATGAAGAGGAGAGTTCAGAAGAAGAAGAAGAACAAAAGATGATAGAAGAGCTTTAAAAGATTAATAGAATGGTTTTTGTAAAAGTTGAAAAGAATAACAAAAAAAAATAACAAAAAAATAAGAAAATAAAATACAAGAACTTAAAAAGAAAGAAATAATATATATAATAAATTGAAGAATGACATCATATCAAAAAACTAATGAAACAGGTAAATGTGAAATGTGTAATAAAGAAATTAGAGGATTTCATCATATGTATAAATGTCCAAGTTGTGGGTTTGGAGTTTGTTCCGACTGCTTAAAAAAAGGACCTACATGTCGTTGTAATCATGGAATACCACCACTCACGGAAGAACAAGAAAGAAAAATGAATATATTAATGGAAATGGGATTTCCTGATTATATTTGTATATTTGCATTAAGGAAATATAAATGGAATGTTGAAGAAAGTATTCCATGGATTATTGATAATCTTCGAACATTTCCAAAACCAGAAAATCAAGAAAATAAAAGAGAAGAAGAAAAAGATGATAAAGAAACTGATGAAGGATTAGAATATGTAGAAGATGAAATGAAGTGGAAAGAAAAAGTTGAAGAAGGAGGAATTATTGAAAAGAAAAGAAAAGGAATAAATAATAAAAGAATAAAAGAAGAAAAAGAAGAAGAAGAATGGCATGAAGATGTATTTGATGATGAATTATATGGAAATGGAGGAAATGATAGAGGAGATCCAAGAATAGAGAAATGTTATGAAGTTATTGAAGCAAAAGATATTATAAAAATGATTAGAGACAGTTGTGAAAAAGAATCTGAAGCATTAAATATTAGTCCAGGGAATGTCTCAATATTATTAAAACGATATGGATGGTCAAAAGATAAATTAGAAGAAGCATATTTTGAGAATTATGATAAAGTTTGTAAAGAAAATGGAATAATTAATGAAGAAATTAAAGAATGTAAAGAAAAAACATGTCCAATTTGTTATGAAGAAGGAAGAATGATTAGTTTAAATTGTGGACATTATTTTTGTATCAAATGTTGGGAAGAAAGAATTAAAACAATGATTGAAAGTATAGGAAGTAATGTAGTTGATTGTTTATGTATGGAACAAGGATGTACATGTAAAGTTAATTATGAAATTATAGAAAAAATAGGGAATAAAAAAATATATGAAAGATTTATGTATTTTATTTGTAAAGACTTTATTAGTCATAGAAAAAGTTATGTATTTTGTCCAGTAGATACATGTGGAAGAGCAATTCATTATTTTGATACATCTAGAAATGAAGTACCAATTATTTGTAAATGTGGACAAAAATTTTGTTTTAAATGTGGAAGAGAAATGCATAAACCAGTTTCATGTTCAGAATTTATGAAATGGAATGATTTAGTAACAAATGACACGGAAAGTATGAAATTTGTTAATACTATTTCTAAACCATGTTTTCATTGTGGACTATATACTGAAAGAGTTGATGGATGTAACCATATGACGTGTTCAAGATGTCATGGGGAATGGTGTTGGATGTGTCGAGGGGATTGGAAAACACATGGATCACAAACAGGAGGATTTTATAAATGTAATTTATATGAAAAATCGGAAGCTAAGAAATTAGATGAACAAGCACAAAAATTAAAAGAAGAAAATAAAAAGTTTTTAGAATATTTTGATGAATATATTAAATATAATAATGTTATAAGAGAAATTACTAAACAAGAAGATGTATTATATAATATAGAAATAAATATTGAAAAAAGTACAGGAAAATCAAATCCAGAAATATTAGAAGCAGCTGAAGTTTGTAAAGAAGCATATAGTGTTATTAAATACTCATTTGTATTTGAATTTTTTATTAAAGAATATGAAATAATTTATAAATTATTTAATTTCCGTCAAAAGAAAGATATTGAACGAGTCAATGAATTAAGAGAAACATTAAAAAAGATAGAAGAAACCGGAAGAGTAGATATTCAAAAAATAAGACAATTAATAGAAAATGTCAAAAAAGTTACAGAATCACTTTCTGATGTATCTACAGAAAATCTTATGAAAAATAGATTTGATGAAGTAAAAAAGAAGAAAAGAAAAAATTAAAAATATACATACAATAACTAAATCAATTTTTCATTAAAATCATAGCACCAACACTTACAACTCCAAAAATTACAAAAAGTATTGTTATTGTACAACATAATTGATCTGGTCCTCTTACATGTTCTAATATTCTTTTTAATTTTATATTTTTTTCATCTAAATGAGAAATTTGTTTATTTACTTTTTTTGTTATTAATTCAATTTTCATATCTTGTTCATCTACTTGTTGATTAAGACTAGTAGCAACTTCTTTTAAATCTTTAACTCCTTCATGAATTATACTTAATTTATTATCTATGTTTTTATCATTTTCTTCAATCTCTCTAATTCGTTTATCATCACTTTCTGGAAGTGAACCAACACTAAATCCTTCAATTCCATTAATATGAAAATGTTCTTCAATTTGTATTCCTCTTTTAGCAATCATTTTCATTGTTTCAATTTCATCTTCTACTGTTTTTAATGAAAGTCTATATTCAATTAATTTTTCATCATTTTGATTTTTCTTTTTTAATTGTTCTGTTGCATATTCTTGATATTCCTTTCTTAATTCATCATACATTGTATCAATACTTTTAATTTTCCTTTTAATTTCTATAGTAAGCTGAACTACTGAAGTACATTCTTCTTTTGCTTCTTCTTTTACACGAAGATCACATAATTTCTCAACTTCACAAACTTGAAGATAAATCATTTGTCTTTTCTTTGTGAATGAATCAATACTTCCTTCTTTTTCTTTATCACATAATTCAATTTCATTTAATGAAAATCCACAATCTTCTACTATAATTTTAAGTGTTGTTTCTAATCTATTCATTGAATTAGCAATGAGTCAATATCTTAAATGAAAGTGTCTTTTCTTCTCATAATGTTATACTCAAAATACATAAATCCAAATTGAATGAAAATAAAAACTAAAAATAGAAAGATTAAGAAAAATAAAAAAAACCCTTTGAACTTAAAAAAATAAGAAAGAATGATTATTCCAGTACGATGTTTCACATGTGGGAAAGTAATTGGAAATAAGTGGGAAAAATTTCTTGAATTAGCCACAGGAGGAAAAGTTCCAATGGACCAAGTTTTTAGTGAGCTTGGGATTGAAAGATATTGTTGTAAACGAATGTTAGTATCACACGTTAATTTGATTGGGTTCTTATCAATGTATGATTTACCATCAGAAAGTCTAAAGAAAGCATAATTGAGATTGTATTAGAAATAATTAAGGTTTTATAAAAGAGAATAATTTTTTTAATAAGGAAAAGAAACTAATAAATAGAAAGATGGAAAGTCATAAACGAAAACGATCTAATTCTAGACATAGAAGTAGTACAGAACCAGACAAAAGTCAATATAGAAAATTAGGAAGAGAATGGGGAGATGCTACATATGTTAAAATTTTAAGAAAAGAAGAAATTCATAAGAAAGAAGAAAATAATATACTTGAATTTTATGATGAAGAAATTAATGATCAACAACATCAAGAAGTTGAATTATATGAATTACTTAATAAAAAAGAAGAAGGTGATAAATGGGTTGAAAACCAATTACAAGCATCAGGAATTATTAAACAAAATAGAGAAATTAAAGAAGAAGTTGAAGATATAGAAGTTATTGTTAAGAAAATTATTCCACAATTTATGGAAGGGAAGCATAATAAATTAGAAGAAGCAAAAATTGTTGTTCCAATCAAAGACCCAAGTAGTGATATTGCAAAATTAATAAAAAGAGGAAGTGAGACATTAATTAAATTTAAAGAAAGAAAAGAAAGACAAAAAGGTAGTAGAGAGGTAATAGAAAATGAAAGTATATTAAAGAAAATAATCAAAAAAGAAGAGAGAGAAGAAGAAGAAGAAAAAGAAGATATAAGAGAAGAGAGAGAGGAAAAAGAAATGAATAGAATGGAAAAACGAAGAGAAATTAAAAGAAATCGAGAAGAATTACCTATATTTTTTAAGAAAAAAGAAATTATAACAAGTATTAAAGAAAATCAAATTAATATTATTATTGGAGAAACAGGAAGTGGTAAAACTACACAAATTGCACAATATATAGTTGAAGAAGGGATTGGAAAAAATGGGAGAATTGGATGTACACAACCAAGAAGAGTTGCAGCAGTGAGTGTTGCACAAAGAGTTAGTGAAGAAGTTGGAAGTAAATTAGGAGAAGAAGTTGGATATCTTATTAGATTTGAAGATAAAACAAGTAAAAAAACAAAAATCAAATTTATGACTGATGGAATATTATTAAGAGAAGTAATTAAAGATCCAATGTTAGAAGAATATAGTGTTATTATAATGGATGAAGTACATGAACGAAGTCTTAATACTGATATTTTATTTGGTATTATAAAAAGAATTATTCAAGAAAGAAATGACCTTAAATTAATTATAACAACAGCTACTATCAATGAAAATAAATTAATAGAATTTTTTGGGATAGTTCCTATTATTCATATTGAAGGAAGAACATTTCCTGTTAGTGTTCAATATCTTAAAACAACACCAAATGATTATATTGAAATGGCAATAAGACAAGTACTTTCTATTCATATGAATCAAGGAAAAGGAGATATTTTAGTATTTATGACAGGACAAGAAGATATTGAAGTAAGTTGTGAATTACTAAAAGAAAAATATAAAGAAATAAAAGTAGAAAATAAGCAAGATATAGAAATTATTCCTATTTATTCGCAATTATCAAATGAAGCACAAAAAAAAATATTTATTAAAAGTAATAAGAGAAAAGTAATTATTTCAACAAACATTGCAGAAACATCATTAACAGTACAAGGAATTAAATATGTTATTGATAGTGGATTAGGAAAATGGAAAATTTATAATCCAAAGATAGGTATGGATTCATTACAAATTTTTCCAGAAAGTAAACAAAATGCAGAACAAAGAAAAGGAAGAGCTGGAAGAACAGAAGCAGGAATATGTTATAGGTTATTTACAGAAAATACATTTAAATATGATTTACTTGAAAGTCCTATTCCAGAAATTCAAAGAACAAATTTAAGTAATACAGTCTTAGAATTAAAAGCAATTGGAATTAATGATATTAATAAAATTGAATTAATTGATAAACCAAATGAAGAAAGAATTTTAAATTCAATGTATGAATTATGGATATTAGGAGCATTAGATGAAATAGGAAATATTACAGAATTAGGAAGAGAAATGGTTGAATTACCTCTTGAACCATCATTATCTAAAATGCTTATTGTTGCACAAAAATTTGAATGTACAGAAGAAGCACTTACTATTGCAGCAATGTTAACAGTTCCAAATGTATTTCTTAGACCAAAAGAAAGACAAGAAGAAGCTGATTCAACAAGAGAAAAATTTTATCAACCAGATAGTGATCATATTACACTTGTTAATGTTTATAATCAATGGAAAGAACATGAAGAAAATGAGCAATGGTGTGACAAAAATTATATTAATATAAAAGCAATGAATAAAGCAAAAGATGTTAGAAAACAATTAAAAGATATGATGAATAAAAAAGGAATTAATGAAATTTCATGTGGAAGAAATTTAGATAATTTAAAAAAGTGTATTACTGCTTCTTATTTTTATAATGCTGCTAAATTAAAAGGTCAAACTTATATTAATTTAAGAACAGGTGTTCAATGTTTAATTCATCCAACATCAGCATTATTTAATATGGGTGTTAAATCAAAGTATGTTATTTATCATGAATTATTACTTACAACAAAATCTTATATGAGATGTATTACTTCTATTGAAGGAAGATGGTTGCCTGAATTAGGAGAAGTATTTTTTAAAGCTATTAATTTAAAAGAAATTGAATAATTAATTTAATTAATATTAATTCTTAAAATTTTAATATGTTAATTTTGATAAAAAAGAATTAATTTTTAGGAATATTTTAATAGAGATAAACTGAGTGTTTTAACTTATCTCTACACCATGGTTTCATTTTATAAAACTCTTCTCTTGAAACTCCAAAAACTTCTTGGAATTCTTCATCAGATAAATATGTTTCAAGAATACTTTTGTCTACTCCAAATGGTCTTGGTTTTGTTATTAATTCGGCATATGTATATCTTGTTCTACAATATTCATCAAACATTTCTTTAGCATCCATTTCTGTAACTTTACTTCTTTTTTCAATTCTTGGGAAAATAATACTTTGGTCAACTTCAATTCCATCTATTTCAATTGCTTCACTAGGATTTTTAATAGATCGAACTCTTTTTCCTTCAACACTTATTTCATTTTTAAGTGCTGGGTCTATTTCATTAAATGTTCCATCAATTACTTGTGTTATTAGTTCAATTTCTTTCTTTTGACAAACTGGATAATTTTGTCTTAAATTATTTTTCCTTAATAAATTCGTATCACTCCATGCTTCAAATAATGCTCTAAATTCCATACTTTCTTCATTTTCTTGTTCAATTTTAACTTCTTTAAGTCCTCGTTCTTCTGCACATTTTAATGAAAATTGTAATGAAAATCTTTTTGTTTCATTGATTGCTTTACTTCCAAACCATAACCATAACTTTCCTGCATCAACTAAAAATACATCTTCTTTATTAAAATCATTTTGACTTGGTTGTTCAATTTCTTCAATATCAACTGATGTTACCCAAAATGTAAATTTAAATAATCTAATTTGATGATAATTTTCTTTACTTTTTTCTACTCCTTCTATAAATTCAATATTTCCTCCAATAATTTTCTTACATATTTCTTGTTTATAACTTAAAGGTAATTGAAATTCTTGTTCCATCATTTTTACCATTTTCTTTTCTTCTTCATTACTATCTTTTCCTTCAATAACTTCAATTCCTTTTATTGTTTTAAATAGATAAATACTTCCTGGCATTAATTTCATTCCTTTTCCTTTTTCTTCTAATTGATAACTAATTGGCATTTGAACTGCTTTACAAAGATATTCTTCTCTTCCTCTAATTTCATATATTTCTGGTCTTTTATCATAATATTCACTATATCCTCCTAAATGAACAATAAATTTCCCTTTAAAGATTTTTAAAAATTCTTTTGGTTCTTTTCCTTGTACAACTCTAACTTGAACTGATGTTTCAACTGTACCACTTGTTTCAACAACTTTATGTGCTAATGTTCCCATATCCATTAATGATGCATCTCTTCCTTGCCAAAAATAAAGAATATGTTGAGCTTTTTCACTTCCTTCTGGATAAAATGTATATTGAATTAAAAATGCTTCTTTACTAAAGAAATGTCCATATAATTCTTTTGGATATTCAACTGTATTATGTTCTTCAATTCTTTTAATGATATATGTTCCTTCTTTAAGATTATTAAATATCATTTTTCCATTAACATTTAATATTATTTCTGTAAAATTTCTTATTTTCTTTTCTTTCATTTCTAAAATCATTGTTTCTATTTTCTTTTGTGGTTTATGTTCAACTTCTTTAGTCATTTTTTTATTTTCAATTCCTCCCATTTGAATTGGTAATGTTCCTGGATAATTACTAAACTTTTCTTTAAATAATATATTTTCTCCATTTTGATTAATTTTTACCATAAGTATTGGTTTATTTCTTTTTCTAAGTTCATTCCCAATAATATTTCCTATTTTCCTACAATTAATTGTTGATGTTACACTTTGCCATACATAGATTTCGGTGCTTGTACTAATAATATTAACTGTTCCTTCTTTTAATATTTCTTTTGGTGGTAATGTTGTATTTCCATGTTCATAAATCATTCTAACACTTAATGGATTTTTTTCATTCTTTTCATTATGAATTATTCTATATATTCGGATTATTTCTGGTTCTTCTTTATCTTGTTCTTCTGTACTTTTATTATTTCCTTCTTTTTCTTCTTTATTATCTAGATTAAATTTTGTTGGTTGACATCCAATTTTTTTCCACATATCTGATTCTCTATCATCTTTTCCATGTGTTAATAATATAACTTTACATTTGTCTCGTTCTTTTTCTGAAATTCTCCTTGCTAATTCTTCTGCTTTAGATCTATTAACTTTAGGTGAATATTGTCCTCTCCAAACATAAATCCCTTCTTTACAAAGTAAAACATATGAATTCCATGGATTTAATTCTTTTTGTTTTAATTCAATAACATATGATCTTAATCTTCTTCTTCCTTTAATTTGAATGAGAAGTGTAGGTTCTCCTTCTATTAATTTTTTAAAGTCTGTAAAATATTCTTCTCCTAAATTGGATTGTTCTTGAATATATTCTTCATTAAGTTCATTGTCATTAGTTAAAATATTTCCTCTAATTCCAAGTTCATTCATTATATCTCTTGTTCTTTTCTTTCTTTCCATAATTTCTTCTTTCCATGCTTTACATTCTTCTGTTTTAAATTCATGTTTAATTCCTTTTTCTTTCATTTCAATACTCATTTCTCCTTTATCTTCATTAATATCAATATTTTCAATATCTTTTAAATATATTTTTACTATTGGAGTACTGTCCGTTCGATTCTTAAAAATAAATATTTCATTTGCAACTAATGTAAAAATGATTTTTGAATATCCTCCAAATATTCCTTTAAAATAATATTCCATTTCATCTTGTGCTGGTGTTCTTCGGAAATCTTCTAATTCTTCATCAGCTTCTTCTCCTTTTAAATTATTTGGTGTACATGCATTCATCCATTTCTCTAATTCTTCTTCATTTTTACATGCTAAATGAATAACATTTCCTTTACTTGTTAATTGGAATGTATTTTTTCCATATGATTTAGGGAAAATCCCTTCAGTTTTACTTAAATGAATTACTCGATTTAAGAAACATTCCATTTCACTATTTCCTGTTGCTTCTTCTGTCCACCATGTAATATTTTGACTATATAATATTCCTTTTTCAATATAAAAATATCTATGTTTAATTGTACTAAACATTGTTGGTTTAATACAATATAATAATCCTTCTATTTCTCTTTGTGTTTTTTCTTCTTCTTTTGTTTCTTTTGTTTCTTGTTTTTCTTCTTCTATTTCTTCTGCATTTTCTTGAAGAATTTCAAATGTTGTTTGCCATTCTTCGGCTTCTTTTTGACTATTAACAAAATAAACATATTTCTTTTTGAGTTTTCCTTTTATTACTTCATCACTTTCTTCATCAATATCAATAACAATTCCAACTTTCCCTTCAATTTCTTCAGTTCTATTAAATCCTGTAATTTTTATTATATTAATAATAATTGTTGGAACTGGATCATCTCTATTATTAAATATCATTACATATTTCTCATTCATTTCACACCATCTCTTAATATAACTATTCCATATCCATCCTCTTTCTATTTCTTCAATTCCTCCACTTAATTTTAACTTTTTCATTTTTTTCCCTTGTGTTAAATTATATTTTTCTAATTTTTCTTGTATTTTACTTTTACCTCCTTCTTCAATTCCAATTTCATAAATACTTTTCATATCTTCTGGTTTTAATGAAACACTACTTCTTCTTCTAGAATTTCTTTTACTTCCTCCTTGTTGACTAGATCTTCTTTTCTTAGTATTATCTTCTTGTGTTTGTGGAATAAGCCATTCTCTTGCTGTATATTCTGGAACTCCACTAAATACATTTTCATATAAATCTTCTTGATAAATTGTTTTCCCTTCTTTTCTAGGTAAACTAAATGAAACATTGTATAATGTATCACATTTATTATTTAGTAAAACAAATCTTCCTATTTCACATTTTTTAACATCATATAGTCTTTGTGGTACAAATGCACTTCCAAATATTCCTTCTTGAATATTTGTTTTTCCTAAATTAACTAAATTCGTTCCTTGAACTTCATATGTAAATATTTGATTTCCTCTTCCTGTAAGATAAATTAAATTATTATTATTATCATAATAAATGCTTAATGGTGATGGTTGATTATCAATAATACTTTTACTAATAATTCCTTGTTTTCTTTGATCAAATAAACTTATTGTTCTTTCTCCTTTTTTACTAAATCCACTAACTACAATATATTCACTTCCTTCAATAAATACTCCTTTTAATCCTTTTACTGTTTCTGCAACTCCATAACTTGTAATTGCTTCACTTGATACTCTTGGATCATAAAGTCTATACATAAAATCTTTAGAAATTGTCATAAAGTTTTCTCCATAACATCCTTCCCAATTTAATGTTAATACTTCTGCGGATCCATTATTTACTTTAATTACTTCTTCATTAGGTTCCGTAATATCATAAACTTTAACTGTTCCATCCATACAACTACTTGCAAGTAAATTATCTGCATATGGATGAAATGTAACATTAGTAATTCGTTTTTCTTCTTGAATACTAACTTTTGCTTCACTCATATCACTTGTTAATCCATCTGGCATAATATCCCATATTTTAATACTACAATCTCGAGACCCAGTGCAAAGCATTCTTTCATGAAATGGTGAAAATTCAAATGTTGTTATTTGTTGATTATGTGCTTTAATAAGATATGGTTTATCACTTATTCTTTCTGCTTTATTCATTATTCCTACATACATTAATCCATCTCCACTTGACTTCCATGGAATTCCATAAAATTTACTAGACACTTGAATAATTGGTTCATTTCCTATATTTGGATGTACATTTCTTATCCATGTATTTGCATTCCATGTTTCTCCATAAATATTTTTAAATTTACTTCCTGATACTGCTTTAGCATTAGCACTAAGTGACAATGTTCTTCTTGAAACACTCATTCTATTTTTAATTTTATAGTTGTTAATTTAAGAGATGATCGTTATTTCTTTCTCTATTCTTGTCGTTTCTATTTTTATCCTTTTCTAGTTCTTCTCTTTTCCTTTTTTGATGTTTTCTTATTTTTTAGTATTATTTCTAACTTCTTTCTATTTAAAATATTCTGTTTAATTTGTTTTAAACTTAATTAAATTATTTAAAATACCTTTCTAAAAAGAGTTTTTGTATTCCAAGAGTAACTGAGTCATATTCTATAGATAATTTATAGATTGTTTGCTAAATGATTACATTTCTGAATATTATTAATAAAAGAAGAAGAAGAAGAATAACAAACCAAAATAAATGGATATTGTTTTATAAACTTTTGAAGTTGAGTAAAGATAATAAAACAATTCTCATCATCTGGAAGTGAAATGTTATAAAGAACTCTTAACCATAACACATGAATAACAAATAATGGTTGTTCATCAATAGATTGAATAAGTATTTGTGTTAATTCTTTTGATTTTAATATTATTTCTATTTCATTGTTTGTTTTCCATAATCCAACTGTTTTCTTTGTTAATAAACAAATAAATAAATAAACATTTTGTATTATACCTTGTGCAAATGGAACAAATGGATTACATATTAATTTTTTATTTTTTATTTGTTCTTGTATTATTTCATTCATTGTAATGCTTTGTGTTTTATCTTCTCCTTTATATTTTTCATACATTTTATTTTGTGAAATATAATATGGAACTTCTTTTTCTTTATAATGAAAAAACCATACAATAATAATTAATATTGTTTCACTTCTAATACTTGGATATTCTTTTTTAATAAATTCAATCATTGACCCTTTACATTCTTTCATTTTTGAAAATAATTTAATTATATTAAATGTATCGCCTATTTGACTTGAACAAAATGGTAAAATATCACACTGACAAATATCCATAAAATCAATTTGACTTTCACATCTATTAATTCTTTCATCTACTTCAATTCCTTCAAATGTAACACTTGGAAGACTTAAATTATCTCCACATTTCTTTGTCATTTGATATACTCCTGCACTTATTTTCCCTTGATTAAAACAAAATTCAGTAATCAAATCTAAATGACTTTCTGTGTTTTCTTGACTTGAACTTAAAATATCCATTATCATTTTAATAAATTCATCATCACATATCCCCATTAATGGTATAATTCTCTTAACTAATATGTCTTGTTTAAGTATATTTCTATAATATTCTTTTCCTTTTCCATTTACATAAAAATAAATAATGTTTTTAATAATTGATTTAACAACATATTGATCTTCTGTAAGTAACATCTTTTTATTACTCAACATCCCATCTATTAACTTTGAAAATATTGAAATTGACTTGTTAAATTCTTCATTTCTTTGTTTTATTTTTAAAATGTCTTGTTGAAGATATAATGAACTACATTCATTTACAACATATATTAGATTTATATAGTCTTTACGATTTTTTGGCTTTTCAAGTATTTGTATTTCTTGTTGAATTAAATATAATGTTTTTCCATAAAACACTGCTCTATTATGATATTTTACTAATATAAAATCTTTATAATGTTTATATGCTGCTGGATGCATTGCCATAGGAATAAACCATGATGGTCCAACCAGTTGAATAAAATTAGCTGGTAATGGAATGTCTGAATTTATTAAAATGAATAATGCTTGAGTGAAAGAGAATGTTCCAATTATTATTTCTGATGAAACCTCTCCAAATAATTGATATAATACCTCCGCTTGAAAGATTTTACTTATTTTATCCATAAATAAACTAAACTTATTCCATTCTTCTGAAGTATGTTTAATTAATAAATATTCTTGTAATGTTTTAATAATTACTCTTACTATCTCTTTCCCATGCTCTAAATATTCTCCAAATGCTCTTTCTAATATTCCTTCTCTAAGAATTAATGTTGGTGAATGATGTTTACAATGATTAAATCCTCCGTTTCTAAATATTCCACAATCACAATATCCTACAGTGTTTGTATGTTCTTGAACATTATGCCCAATATGTTCATTTGGATTATAACATTCCCCACAAATAGTTACATATCTTCCATAACATGTTAAACATATATAACTTGTTTTAAGTCTTTGAAGACATTGTCTTCTAGGTGCAAATTTTGAGAAATAATTAACAATATCATCTAATGATGGAAGTTGAAATACTTGATTAATAAAAGAATTAATATTATTATCATCTGTATTTAAATAATCTCTTAAACAATTTGGAAATTGAATTTCAAAATCAGAAATTTGAATAGAATGAAAATAATCAATGATGGACGACATACAGTGAAGTTTGTACTGAATGTTCTTGACTAAAAAAAAAGAACTTAAAAAAATTAAAAAGAAAAAAACTGATTTTCATAAGAAATGCAAAACACATACTTTGTTATTATTGGTAGTAATGATAGATTACTTTATGAATATCCAAAAGAAAGTGCAATGAAATATGCATCAGATAATGAATATGTCTTAAACCAATTTGTTATTCTTTCTGCATTAGACTTTATTGAAGAAAAGAAGAAAACAACACCAAAAATGTATTTTAAATCAATTGATGTTTATGGGTCACATCATCTATCTGCATTTGTTACATCAGGAAATATTAAATTTGTATTAATGTCAACAAGTAAAACAGATGATACAAAAGGATTTTTTACAGCAGTTTATGAGGATTATGTAAAAATTATATTAAATCCATTTTATGAATTACAAACACCAATTGAATCCGAAGGACTTAATACACATATTAAACAATTATTAAAACAATACAAATTAGAATAATTGATGATTTACAAAAAGATATAGTTTGAGATATAGAAAAAATAAGAAAAAATAAAGGGTTTTTTAGAAAAAAGGAACTTAAAAGAAACAATAAAATATATGGGAAGAAATCCATTTAATCAAACTATCCATCATGAACGTCAACAACCAAAGTCAATGAGAGGATTAGGTAAACTTGAAAGAAGAAAGGATTTTGTTAAAAGAGCACACATCAGAAAATTACAAGAAGAAACAACAGCATACTTAAAAAGAAAAGCATCAAATAAAAATCCAGATGAATTTAATTGTAAAATGCAAAATATGCGATTACAAGGAAAAGTGGTAATTGACATTAGACCAAAAGAAGGACAAAGTGCACAAGAATTAGAAAGACTATTAATGATACAAAAAAATGCATTAGTACGATTACAAAAAAAGAAAATTTTTATACGAGAAAAAAGAATTGTATTTAATGAAGAAGGAAAAGGAATAGAAATGGAACCAATTGACTTAGTAGATGTAAGTAAAATCAAAGAAAAAATAGATGCTCAAAAAATCATTGAAGAACAAGAAAAACGACAACAAGAAATTAATAAACTTCAAAAAGAAATTAAAATAACAGAAAGAAAATTACAAGAAATAAGTAAAATTGAACGAGAACAAGATAAAAGAAAGAAAATAGAAATTAAAGATGAATATGGTGATGTTATTGCAACACATTATCAAAATACAAGAAAAAAATAAAATAATTTCAATGTAAAGAGAAAATGAATTGGATATTTTTAAATTAATTTATCAATTTTTATGTATTTTTTTTTCTTTTAAGAAAGAATAAATTAATTATAAAATTTTAATTGTCCATGATCCTTGTTTAGTTGCTTGTTTTAAATATATTGGAATATCATTTCTTTCAAGTTTCATTTTTATTATACTTATTCCTGAAACTATTGTTTTTTCTGCTTCAAATTCTACACAAACAAATGGAAAATCACTTGTTAATGGTTGAATCCCTTCTTTATAATTAAATTTAATTATTCCATTTCCTATAATATTCCATTTAATTTTTTGTTTATTTTGATTATTATCTTCTATTTGTCCTTCTCCATCAATTACTCTAACACTTTCTATATATTTTGGTTTATTAAATACTAACCAACATTTCCCTATAACTCTTTGTTTAATGATACTATTAAATTTAATGTATGTATTTCCTTTTTCTATTTTAATTTTAACATCAAATGGTGCAACAATATCACCTTTTAATTTATATGTTAATACACGAACAGATCCAAATGTTAATGGTACATTTATTAATCCATTAATTGGATTATTTCCTTGAAATTCAACATCATCAGGATATTTTAAATACATTGTTAATGGAAGACATTCACTACTTTTAACATTAATAATCCCTTTTATTGTCCCATTGCTATCAAGTGTTTCAATATGTTCTACATAAACTCCTCGTGTTTCTGTATTTGTTTTGAATATTTGTGTAATTGAAAAATCAGTTGACATTGGTGATACAATTTGATATGGTTGGATTGATGTTTTATCAAGCATTTCTTCAATCACTTCACTCACTCGAATTAAATTATTCCTAATAATCGTTTCTGATAATCCATTACAGAAATCGGTAATTGCAGTAATAATTGAAAATATATGAGATATACATATTGAAGGAGGTTGATTAATTAAGTCAAATGAAACAAAATGAAGATTATTTCTAATAACACGAATATATTGGACTGAGTCAATAACAAACACAGTTGGTGAATATTGGGTTAATAAATGTTTAATATAAAAGTCAATACACCTAAAATATTTTCTATCATTACCACAATAAAGTACATCACCAGATAGATTAAAAATAGTGATATTATCAATTGCCATAAGGAAGAAAGAGAGAATGGTTTATAAGTTTCAAGAAAATCCTAAAATCTGAAGAATAAATCTTCAAAGTGATTATGAGATTAACAAGAAAGAATAAAAAAAAATAATATAATAATAATTATATCTCGAAAAAGGAAAAAAAAAAGAAAGAACTAAAATGAAGAAATTAATCAGTGTGAATATGAACACACCTACAATTAAAGCACTAATAATTATTGATTTAGATGGAAAACGAATATATAGTAAATTTTATGAAAAAAATCCAAATGTTCCATTACATAAACAACATGATATTGAAACACGAATTGCTAAAGCAGTTTCAGGAAAAGGAAATAGTGAATTATTTTTATTAGATAAATATGTTGTTTTATATAGAATGGTATCAGACCTTATTATTGCAGCATTAACAGATCCACAAGAAAATGAATTATTTGTTAGTAATGCATTAAATTGTATTGTAGAAGGATTTGAAATAATATTTGATAAAGGATTAGATAAAAAGATAGCATTAGAATTTTATGATAAAATTGCAATTGCTATTGATGAAGTTATAGATGATGGAATTATTCTTGAAGTTGATTCAGAAGAAATGGCTAATAGAGTTAGTTTTAAGAATATTAAAGGAAATGAAACAGGATTTGGTGGAGATGGTACATTTACTAGTGCATTAAATTTTGCTAAAGGATCATTATTAGGACTGTGGAGAGGTAAATAATGATATTCATCTTCTTTTTTAATTCATTATTTTTTTATGTTAATTAAT